GCTTCCAGCCTTTATGATCAAAACGTTTCACATCTAATAAAGACAAACATCTGAAATGATCAGAGCAAAACATCAGTTCAGGTTTGATTTCTGCTTTTCTGTTTTACAATTTTTGTTGATTAATTTAGTGATGAAGCTCAGAACCAGAAATATTCTGCAGTTTAAAGGATGAAGATCATTTTCCTCCACGTTGCCATAGTAACAGGATAATTGGTGAAACATTTTTTTATGCTTTTAAGATTTCATTAAAAAAATAAACTCTTAACCAAGATCCTAAAACCACCTGAAATGAACCTTTAACTACATTATAACCAACTTCTCTCATCCAGTTATTGAAGCTACTTTGATCTGATTTTAATAAATTTGTCCAAACAGTTTAAAACATCAGATGAACAGAAACATTCAGACTTTTCTAACCGAACCAAACATTTATTATTCATTTACCTTCAGTTGAACCAAATGCAGGTCAGGATTAATATGAAATATGAAATATCATTGTATCATCATGGTGTTTAATCAAAGATCTTATTTCTATTGTTTTTTCTTCAGATGCTATTTTACTGTAAGTTTATTGATCTTTTTGTTCAGCTGCAGATTCAGTTTCTTTTTATGTTTATATACTAACATGAATATTTACAGTAATAACTATCATCTTCCTGTAAAAACTGCATTGTAAATATTTATAGGAAAGAAAAGACATTTTATTTTCTCTAAAATCATATTTATATTCTTTTTAAATATAAAGTCAGATTGTTTTTGTGTCAAACTTGGTGAATGAACCTGATTCTCTGAAACCTTCATCATTTCCTGTTTCTCCTCCACAGAGAGAAACTGACTGACTGATCCAGTCGGAGGGTTTGAGTCAATCAGGTCAAAGTTCAACTCAGAGGAAACCTGACAAGATGGAGGAAGAAAACCAGGCTGAGGCTCCTCTTCCTCATCATGTGGTTTATGTTTTTAACTGTTCTTACTTTTTTATTCACATATAAAATCATCTCCTAGAAGCAGTTCAGCTGAATCAGTTTCTTTCTGTAGAAACAGGAAATCCTGGATTCTGGACGGCTGCAGCTTCAAGGTTCAGATAAATCAGTTATGTTTAATATCATGAGTCCAGATCTCAGAGGAAAACAGAAAATATGGATCATATCAGCTTCATTCCAGATTAAATCTGAATGATAATCTCTAATCCACAGAGTCAGATGTTCTGTAGGTTTAAGATGTTGATAAAAACTCAGAATGTCACGTTTATACCTGGAATCCATGTTTTGTAGCAGTTTCAATAATTTTTCCACAAGAAAGGAGTCAACGCTCTGGATCATTAAAAGGTGTAAAAATCCAGCATTAAAACTCAGACTGGTTCTGATGTTGGTCTGAAAACAGAAGAAATGTTTCTCTGACTGTGATGGAAACATTCATCTGGTCTTTGCTGTCAGAGTTTCTGCTGTAGTGACTGACATCAGTCAGTCAGTCACCAGAACCACAGCAGGTCAGTCAGTCAGTCAGTCAGTCACCAGAACCACAGCAGGTCAGTCTGTCAGTCTGTCAGTCACCAGAACCAATGAAACCATTTAATGAAACTGAACCTGCAGCCAGAAACGTTTCCACTAAATAAACTATAAACTTCCTGCTTCACTTCCTGTCAGAACCAGTTCTACTAAACTAAACCTCAACAACAAAACCACCAATCAGGAACCAGTCAGAGAAAAGAAAATCAGCTTTAAGTTACTTTAATCATCTGTTTCTGATTAACTGTTGTCATGGTAACAGGATCTTCATGCCTTAAAGACACAGAAACCCAAAACACAGAACCAACCGTCTGGTGTCAGGTTGAAGTTTCATCCTTAAACAAAGAGAAGTGTGTGGGAACCACACACACACACACACACACACACACACACACACACACACACACACACACACACACACACACTGCAGGGAGGAGCTTCAGTTCTTCAGGTTCCTCTCTGGACTGATTCCAGATCAGGTTCAACCTGTTCTCTTCTATCAGTTTTTATTTCATTTCTCTGGAAGCTACAAGCAACAACCTGAGGCTGAAACTGTTCCTGGACTTTCTCCAAGCCCCGCCCCCTACCTGGATGTCTGATGTCACTTCCTGTCTCTGTAGTCCTGCTATCTGCATAACTCACCTTATCCAACATGTTGCTGCCTGTAATAAAGCAGCTGCTGCTCAGCCTCTGTTGTTGCTGGTTTAGTTTGATCTGATCAGCAGAAACAACCTGATCAATAATCCAGTCTGCTGGGCTCCAACTCTGGACTCATTCAGCAGTAGAGACATTTTAACTCTCATTTTAAAGTTTAAATACAGTAAAACACATAAAACATCATCTAGATTCCCCACAGGAACAGCAGCTTAGATTAAATAAAATGTTTAAAGTTTTGCATTTAAAAGGTTAATAAAAAGCTAATTTATCGCAATCAAACCTGGAACCAGTGGAAATGTGACCTTCTTACTGAGCAGCTGTGACCTTTGACCCCACCTGCTGCTTTCAGATCAGATGAATGTTTCAGTTAAAGTGTCAGTAACCCTGACCTCACCCTCTGACCTGAGGACTGACTGAAATCCAGCAGAAACACCTGAACAGGTTCAAACTGATTCTCTTCTCTGATTGGCTGCTTTTCTCTGGAAGGAGTTTTTACTTTAACTTTGTTTTACCAGAGAGAAAAGGTTTTGTTTTAGTTTATATAACATATTTAATACACATAGAAAATATTAATTTTGCTGTTTCTCATTACCAGCAGTGAGACGTTCAGATGTTTAATGAATAAAATACTTTGAAAGTATTTTTCCTAATTCATTAAATGGGGCAGAAGAATTAAAACTACCTCCAAAAATATTAACATTTAGTTCTAATAAATACCAGATGTTTTGATATTAAATTTATTATTAGATGTTCAGCTGGTTCTCTGCTGTTTCAGAGAAACATCCCTGATACTTTAACATGGTTCAGTTTGTTCATTCAGACTAAAAACAAACTAATTTATTCATTTATAACATGAATTATGGAAAAACTTATATATTTCTATAAGTCATATCTTTGAGTTACAGAATGAAATCTTAGGCTTTACCTTTATGATCATTTAATTAGAATAAATACTGTAGCAGATCTTAGTTCAATTGGTCCAGAGGCGCCACCTGCTGGACAGAAAGAAACTAGAAACTCCTTCAGTTCCCTAAAACCATCAACTAAAAAAAACTGGACACCAGATTGTTTTTGCTCTTATAATGTTACTATAAACTAATACAATTTACGACATTTTATTGTTTATGGTTTGAAAAATATTTGGTTTAAATTTATTAATGAAATGTTTACAAACTCAACAGGAATTTACATGAAAAATAAAACTCATCATTAATCCTTACTGTTATTTTTAACAAGGGTTTTACCAACTACAGTGAAATCCTCTAAAATGATTTCCAGACCAAAAACTGGAGGTAAAATCTATCCAATGTCCAAACATGGCGGCGCTCTGCAGTAAACAGGCTAAACCAGCAGGTGGCGGTAGAGCACAGATTAATGGAGGAAGCTAAATTGTTCTTGATCATAATTAAAGGTGATGATTCTGCTGAGAAAACAGGAAGTAAAGAAAGAATTAGGAAACATATTAACATCTGATCCAATGTGGTTTTAACCAATCTGTCCATGAAGAACTGAACAAATGGCCTTTATATTTAAAATGGTTTTATTTAAATGAAAATATTAAAAGCTCCTTCATGCTTTATTAAACATTAATATATTTATATTAGGATCCATCTGCATACAGCTAATTAAAGACTTTATTCTTTATGAAACCAGATAAACTGAATCTATGAGAGGAATAAAAGATGAAAAGTCAAAATTAAACCAGATTCATTGTTTAAATCTTCATATAAAAACTTATGTAGGTTATAAAAACACAAACCTGTTCAGTAAAGGCCTTTAGTTTCCACTTTAATTTAATTCATTTTACAGGAATAATAACTCATAGCTCATCAGCATCAATTAATCCTGAAAGTTCAAAGAGTTCAAAGGTCACAGACACAAAGAAAAGAAACAGAAACAATAAAAGTATGGAGAAAAATAAACTTTGATTTTTGGTTTATTTAACTTGTTATAAAAATTCCTCTCATATAAAGTGATACATCAGCATGAAAGCTGATATTTCTATTGGTCAAATATTCACACAGTTCTTCATTATTTTTATATTTTTATTAAAATGTATTTTTGAGGATTATTTAATAATTCAGGACCAAATAACAGCTTCAGTCTCTGATTATTGTCCAGCATCATCAGTTTTCTGATATGAAAACCTGCAGTTTGATCTGATTAATGTCGACTTTATAATTATATAAAAACATGAAAAACAGACGTTATAAAGTTACAATAATGATAAAAACGAGTCATTTCTAAATAAACAGCTGGCAACAAACTAAAGCTTTATACTGGATTTATGATCAGGATGTATTTATGTAAATATGAACAGGTCCGGACTGAAACAACAAAACAAAATGGCCGCCGATGTGATCAGTGAAACAAGATGGCTGCTGTGACGTCAGAGCCAACATGGCGGATGATGAACCTCCTGCTGCCTGGAGGACCAGCTGGTTTCACCTCTGGAGGTTCAGAACATCAGGTCCAATCAGAACATCTGGTTCTGGTCCGGTCAGAGTGGATCTCTGGTTCTGGTCCGGTCAGAGCGGATCTCTGGTTCTGGTCCGGTGGATGATCTCAGAATATTACTGAGTCTTGTAGAGATTCTGTAAATAAAATCAAATATAATAAAAACTTGTAATCAAATCATCTTTAGAGGAGAAACAGAAACGTGATTTATTTAGTTAAACTTCTGTATTTGATACAAATATATTCATTTATCAATCTAAACATAAATGATCATTTTTCAGTGGAGATAAAAATCTTTAACATCTGAACAGGTGATCAGGTTGTTGTTAATCAGACCGTCGTCATAGCAACAGGAAACCAGGTGTGTCCGTCTGGACTCACCGTCCTGAACTGAAGTCCCTCCGAAAAAACTGCAACTGTAAAAACATCTGAAAAAACAGAAATAAATACTAATGAACATGAGATTAGGATTATTCATTATTATTGTTTAATATTTAGGATTAAATAAATCCAGTTAAATAATAATAATAATTTAACTGGACTTTACATCCAGCTGCTCCTCCTGAGCTCCATCAGTAAAACTCATGTAACATTAATATTAATAAAATAATTACAGTTTATTTTTGTTAATTTGTTCTGATCTGCAAACATTTCAAAATATTAAAAATGTTTGATTTTGACTCTTAACAGAGTTTAAGTTTTACTTAAAAAACAATCTCTATTGAAGGTTTTTCAAAACTGTTTATAATTTAGAAAATATGTCAAAGCCGAAGGTTTTGAGTTAAAACTAGAAGTTATGATGGTTGTTAATGATTTAATTTCTCTCATCTGAACCTTTTCCAGCAGAAATCTGCTGATGATTCTTGGTTAAACTCTGCAGTAAACATTAACGGTCAGAGGAGCTGACATCCCTCCTGATTTAAGGCTTTTATCCATTTATCTCATGGTCTAGTTAAAGTCCAGACTGTAACTCTCACCGCCTGCCGGCTCGTTTCTCTGACCCATCAGAGCCTCTCAGCTCCTCAGACCAAAACAGGTTTGGTTCTTCAGGCTGAGGATGAAAACATGGAGGAGGTCCAGTCTGGTTCTGAACCCTCCAGATGATCCAGAGACTCTGAGGCTCCTGACAGTTTATGCATCATTACTGAACCTTTTGATTTGTTGGTAACTGTATTGATCTCCACAAGCTCCAGATGGTCCTGATGATCATGTGACCTGGTTGACATTCATTCATTTACACAGAAACTGTTTTCTGAGAAAAACTCTTTGGTTCAGAGCAGAACTGAGTTTTTATCAGAGTTTAAAACCAGGAAGTAGATTTTACTGTCATGAACTGAGAGTTTCTGACTTCCTGTCCAGAACTAAAAAATAAAACAAATATTCATCTCTGCACCAAAGACGTTAAATTAAAACACTGCATCACCAGTAAGAAGAAACTTGATGAACAGCAGAAAGTTTTCAGTTTTTAACCCAACATTGAGACACAAGCAGCAGACCTCAAACTCTGGAGCATTTAGAGATGAAACTTTTCACCACAAAGGAAAAAATAAAACTCTGAGTCAGAAACCAGTAAGACCACAGAGATAAAACCAGTCTGAGCTGCTGGTCAGTTCAAGGTTTCACTTCTCATCAGATCAGATCAGTTAGAAAAGGAATGAAGCTGCTAAATGTTTCTGAATTAATAATTATTGATCTTTGTTATTTTATCCTTCTCTAAATTGAAATCCTGGTAGAAACTAAACTTTTCTGTTTTAATAGTTAAAACACCAAATTAACCCTAAAATGTGTTAATATAACCTTTAAATCTTTGATGCTCTGCTGCAGAAACTAATTACCTCTGTTCTTTGGGTTTCAGCCAATCAGAACCAAGCATTGGGTTATGCTAATGCTAACAGCTTGTAAACCATCGATGCACTGAGACGTTTCAGCTTCCTGAGCTTTATTCTCTTTCTGACAGTTTATCTGTGATCCTCAAGGAAATCAGATAATAATTCAGTTTGTTCCACATGTTGAGGTGAATCAGAGAAACTGATCAATAAATAGATTTTAATCATCTAGAAATAGTTACTAAATGAAAATATCATTTCCTTCCATGTTACACAATATTCTCCTGATCCAAAAGGTTTTATGGTTCCAGAGAATCAAACACTGAGCTGAATGAGAGCAGCTGGATCAGAACCACTGAGGTCCAAACATAAAAACCTTTAGAACATTTATAAAAACTTCCTGTTGATCATCAAGGTTTGATCTGCAGTCTGACGGATGAAACTTTTCATCATGTTTCCCATCAGAAACATTTTCAATCTGTGATGTTTCATCGTCTGTCTGTCCTGAAACATTAGAGGAAGTTTTTTATTCTTAACGTTTGCAGAACTTTTAGTTCATATTTAGTTTAAACAGAAACAGGAACCTGAACGACTGCAGAGTTTATTAAAGTCATTTAGCAGAAAAACCTCAAACTGCAGAACAGAAAATGAGAAACGGACCAACATTTACCAGAATATAAACCAACAGAGGTTATAATTATCTAACTAGATCATTTAATGAGAATAAAATCAATATCTAACATAAGAACTGAGCAGCAACATGATCACTATTGCATCAATAATATTGGTTTAAATGTCACGTTGTTGGTTGGATGATGAGCCATTGATGCCTAAAAACAATAAAACAAATTTGGAAAATGTTTTATAAAAAGCTGCAATATTTCAACAGAGGACATTTCTGAGTCACTTTACTGAAATGTTTTTATTCCTAAACAAACACAACCTGTTTATTCCTCCATGTCACTAATATCAGTGAATTAATGCTGAGTTGTCAACATTTGATGAACTGTCTTTTATTAAAACCTGTTTCTGAACACAGATAAAGACGTCAAAGTGGTGAAACTTATTTAACTTTAATTCTGCAATAAAACAAAGAACAGAAACATAATTTTACCTTCATTTGATTTGATTTTCTGTCGTCGATGATGTGAAGTTTGGATGTTACTGTAAGTAATGTTGTCCTCTCCATCTTCTAGATTATCTAAAGAAAAACAATGTTGATAAAAGAATTATGTAATTCTCTTTTAGATGAAACTATTTCAGATTATAGATGTTAAACTTTATTAAAATAACAGAAAATGGATAAATAAATGTTTGTCTCACCTTCAGGTTTTCTCTGAACGCATCGTTTCACCACTAAAACCAGAATCAGCAGGAAAACCACAAGAATCACACATGATAGAAACACAAGGAGGTAGAGAACAGGAAGAGATGATGATGGAGGAGAGGGTGGAGAACCAGAAGTGGTTTGAGGATCAGGAGCAGTTGATGTTTG